AGGAGTGGCTGGTGGGTTTGAACCGCCAGCCGTCTGGTTAGCAGGCAAGTGTCTTAGCCACTATGCTACCAGAGCTCCCAAATCAAGGACTGGTGCTATAAAAAAAAAAAAAAGATCATTAGAAACACTAGAAATGAAAAAAAAAAAAAAAAAGCCATTGAAATACAACAAAAACACAATAGATAGACTAACCTTTAGACTAGAGATTCTCAAAAGACTACACATTAGAATTATGTGGGGTAGTTTAAAAATGCCCATGCCAGTTCTTACCCCAGATTAAATCAGAAGCTCTGGGAAGGCCCGCAGAAATTCATGCTTTTTTAAAAAAGAAGTCTTAAGTGACTCCAATGTGCAACCAATTTTGGAACCCAATTATCTGGGTATAGTTAGAATAATTTTGTCCATTTAGAACACAGCTTTAATACACAAATGCATAAAAAAAGAATTATTTTAGAAAAATAGGCCTATCCATTTGACCCGTAAGTATCCTTAGCCTGGTGACTAACTGGGCATTCTCAACTTGGGTTGTCTGAAGTTTTCCTGAGCCATTTTAGTCTAAGTCTGTAAGTCTGATACTGACCTAGGATCCTGGAATGCCCTTTGAATAACACCTGTTGCCTTTGAATCAGTTCCAACTAATAGTGACTCTATAGGACAAAGCAGAATTGCCTCATAGGGTTTCCAAGGCTGTAAATTTTTACAGAAGTCACATCTTTCTCCTGCAGAGTAGCTGGTGGGTTTGAACCACTGACTTTCTGGTTAGCCGAGTGCTTAACTATGATGCCACCAAGGCTCCTTTGCCCTTTGAATAGTCAGTTACATTTGGAATTTATCTTGAGCTACAAAGTAAATTTGCTCTTTAAGCTGGATTTCCTTTTTGTTACTGTAGTGTAAAGTCCTCAGTACATTGCTCAAGCTTTGGTGTAAGGTGCCTGGGGTTCCAGCAATTACTCCAGTCCTTCCTGACCGTGTAACCTTTGGCAAGTCATTCACTTTCTCAGAGTCTATGTGTCTGGATCCGCCGAGATTTTGCATGTTTCCTTATATTTTTCCAATGTTTTGTGATTGAGTGAAAATTTACAAACTAGATTTGTTTTGTATTCAATAGTTCATACACATTTTGTTTTGTGACACAGGTTACACTCCCTGCAATGTAGCTACTCACCTCCCACTTCCTCCCTGTGGTTACCCTTTCCCTGTCCTTGCTTATGCATTCCTGCTTCTCTACCTTTCTCCCTGTGCAAATGCTACCCTTCTGATCTCCTATGTAGATTTCTCTAAGAAGTCCATCTCCTGGTGTAGGTGTTCAGCTTGTAGGCATATCTGTTGTTTGGCTGAGAGCTAGCCCTGGGAGTGAATTCAATTACAGGCCCAAAGGGTGACTTGGGGTCATAGTCTCGGAGGTTTTACCAGTCTCTATCAGTAAGGAGCTCTGGTAGCATAGTGCCTAAGGCACTTGACTGCTAACCAGAAGTCTGGTGATTCAAACCCACCAGCCACTCCTTGGAAGGAAGGTTGGGCAATCCTACTTCCGTAGTGATACTGCCTCGGAAACCCAAGGAGGGGTCGCTATGAGTCGGGGGCGACTTGACGGCAAATAACAACAACATCAGATCAGTAAGACTTGTCGTTTTTATGATTTTAGCTTTTGTTCCACATTTTTCACACACTGTCCAGGCTCTCCAATGCTTAATGGTTGGCATTGGTAGCAAGGCACTCTCTAGTACTTCTGGTGTCAAGGTCCCATAGGCTGAGGTTTTCATGGTCTATTAGTTCTTTGGACTAAATGTTTCCATACACCTTTGATATTCTTCACTCTTTTTTGCTCCAGATGAGAAGAGACCAATAGTTGCATTTCAGATGGTTATTTGCAAGCGTTTAAGACCCCTGTCACTACTCACCAAAGTAAGATGTAGAACGATATTTTTGTAAGCTATTTTGTGCCAATTGAGCTTGTCATGATCTCAGCCCGCAGGCTCAGCAACTCACTCTCTCAGGGTGCTTAGTTGTGCCTAAGAAGTTACCCTAATTTTGCCTCCTATTTGGTTTAAACAGTGTGTGGATATTTTTGTAGCACATATAAATACATATGTAAGATTTTGCATTTCTAATGAGTTCCCAGGTAATGCTGATGCTGCTGGTCTCCACATATGAGTATCAAGGCTTTAGATTAGCCAGATATAATAACAAAATTAATTGTTTTCAAAGCACTAGAGGCTTAATATCATTATGCATTTGCTTTCTAAAATTATTTAGTAATAGGATATAAACATAATGTGTTTCTTTGTGAATTTTTGGTGAAATTTGGCAAGCTGACTCTGGAATGTGTATATAATCTTGAATAGGAAGAAAGAAGTAAGATTTGCAATAAGAAACACAGTTTTTAAATTATTAGTATTCACAGTTGTGGTGATTTTAATACAGATTGAAAACTTTTGCGTTCTTTAATTGATATTATCATTATCATCTGTTGTGAAGTGCTGTCAAAATGACTTGAGTTCTCTCCTTATTTTCCTGCTTCACAAATACTTAGAACAGCATCACTGCCCAAAACACTTTTGCCAAAGAGAAGCACTTATACTCTGTGCATATTGAGCCCTGCAGTGAATCTGAGGGCCACTTGCCTGCAGCTGATGTCATTCCTCATGATCACAGTGGTAACAGGGCCATTTCTTTTGTCTTATATTTTAAGTCACTGGGATAGAAATTTCTACTTCAAAACAATCATCATGAGAATTTTACAGGGAGAAAATAAGTTTACTAAAAGATAAGGAAGAAAATATTGAAATATATTTGACTTTTTTCTATTACTATTATTTTGGAAGTATTACCCTAATCAGAATCAATCATAGGCTTTGGAAGATTACTGATTCTCTACTACTTTTATCATGTTATTAAATGGCAAGTCAAATTTACTTTCACTATAATAGCTGTATTTTATACAATTATATCAACAGCATCTTATGTTTGCAATTCTCTTTTTTTGCAGAGCCTCATTATTTGATCACCATGGACTTGCAGACTTTTTAATTTCAATGGTAAATATTCAAATGACAGGTTTATTTCCTTTATTACTATTTAAAGTTAAAAAATTATAGAATTACATAAAATGGATTTTCAAAAACAAGTCAAATTTTAATTTCCTGTTTATATCAGAAAAGGAAGTTTACAAAAGAATGATTGACACATTTACATATAGAGTATACTGTATATTAATGTATAATAGCCAGCCTTCATTACCATAAGGCATGAAGTCCCAAAGTATACTTTTTATACCCCATTTTTCTTGATATAATAGTAATGTTTGAGGCATGGTATAGTCCAACATGAATCAAGACAGGGAGGCTGAAAATAACAAAACATTGTACTCTTAGTCCCTGGTGTTCATATCATCCCTGACAGGGCCACAGGAGGAAAACATAGGGGTGTTCACAAGGCAGAGATGAAGGAAGACTGTGGGCATGCAACTTTATTGTGGTTTTCTAGAACATGATACTGGGACTCAGGGATTTTATTGGTCAGGTATATTTCAAAGTTGTGCCTTGGGCCTTGAGCTGTTTACCAAATGGGAAACCAAGGAAGGGAGCTTATTGTCTAGGTGTTTTGGTACTCTAGTGCTGCTCTAACAGAAAAATGCCATAAATAGATGGCCTGAACAAACAGGGGTTTTATTCTCTTACAGTTAGGAGGCTGGAAGCCCAAGTTCAAAGTGCCAGCTCTAGGGGCTGGGTGAAAGCTCCTTAATCTTGGGCTTCGGCTCTGCTTCTTGCTCCTAGCCCACTGGAGCTGGAGGCTTCTCTTAACTCCGGTTTCTGTTGGCTGCTGAGACTGACAAACCCAAGGTTGACAAATAAAATGGCACAGTCCCAAGAATTACCAAACAACATGGCAGACCACTAGTTCAAGTCCAGAGGCAGTCCCAAGATAGCAGGAAACATGGCAGGCTGCTGAATGAAGACTCAGCAACATGCAAGGTCCAAGCATGCTAAAAAACTGAAAGACTTTCCTCAAAGCTTCTTCTTGTATACTGGAAGCAGACCACATCCCTAAGACAGCTACTCAGCCGCTCCAGTAGATTCCACCATGGAGTCCATTAACAGTCTCATCATGGAGAATAACTACATCCAGCTACCCAGCCAAGTTGACACAGAAACTTAACTACCACACTAGGTATAGCAGATATGATGGAGAAGGGTTATTTTATGTGGATATTAAAACATCATATTACAGAAGCTAGAAATTATAGCTAATTCATACCCTTACTGATATTTTTACCAGTGATAGTTTGTGAGTACATTGTAAGGGAACTATTCTAATCACTGGTGAACTGGTCCTAGGACAGTATTGGACTTGGGCTACATGACTCAGCACAACTGGCTTTGAGTTAGAGTCAGGATAGGCCTAGAATATCAGCTTCATCTTCCATTGCAAGCTTCTATACCAGCTGCATCAGTGCCAACTTTTGAACAATGAAAAACTGAGGAACTAAAAAATATTTTCCAAGGTCTGCTGCAAGTGAAAGCTGAGATTTCTTTGTTTTCACTCTAAGAAGTAGAATCAGTCAGTTTTTGAGTTAAATTTTAATAAAGCCTTATATGTGGATATGTATGTAATTGATTTATTTAAGCCCCATGATCTCAGCAATGAATGCATTCCCATTTATAGTACTTAACATATATTTGTTGTCGATAGCAACTATTGAAATTTTGATATCTACACAGAAGAAATCTAGGAAGAGATTCAATGTATTCCATAGTCTTATGACTTGCATGATTTCATGCAAATGAAGCTATCTAAGTGGCAAGAAAACTATTTGTTGTTGTTGTTGTTGTTATGTGCCGTCAAGTCAGCCCTGACTCATAGCGACCCCTCCTTGGGTTTCCGAGGCAGTATCATTACGGAAGTAGGATTGCCCAACCTTCCTTCCGAGGAGTGGCTGGTGGGTTTGAACCGCCAGCCATCTGGTTAGCAGGCAAGTGTCTTAGCCACTATGCTACCAGAGCTCCACTCTCTTTTCAGTGGTTACTGCTGCCATATTCATACATGTTCAGTGGACTCCAAATGGACAAATATTCACAATCATAGTTTAAACTATTTTTATTACTCTTTCAAAGAATATTTCTTACTGTGAAATTTTAAAAAGTTCTTTTCTTTGCCATATCAAATATTATAACCATAATGCATAATGGTAAATATTGACTTATTCATTTTTGTAAAAAAATTTGTCATGTGATTTTAAATTCATATTCTCTCAAGTATTTGAATTTAAAAGTTATTTTAGGACTTGAATTAAAATAGATGAAGTAGACTTTTTAAAAAGTGAATGATTTGTTTTGAATTTTTTTTACCACATGCATAATTTTGGAAGATCTTTAAAATTTGTATATTTAAAAATCATTTCTTAAAGTAAGAACTAAATTACTGCTATAAGTCAAGGGGTTCTATTTTTATGGTTAAAATAGTGACAGAAATCTATTGCCAGTTGTCAATCAAAAGATTAACAAGTAAGAATACTTTTTATTGTTGAAATTGTGAAAGAATGCTTTGATTTCTGATGTTACGGCATATGAATTATAGGGAAATTTTTTAAAAATTTATAATTTGTCATCTACTTGACTGCTAGCTATATTTACTGTATCCCAATGAATTACTATTATTTAGTGACTGCAACATAAGCTAATTTATTTGTTCACAAGCTCTTTGTTGAATAACTTGTTTTATTGTAGGGAGCAGATATTAATAGCATCGATTCCGAAGGACGTTCCCCACTTCTACTAGCAACGGCTTCTGCATCTTGGAATATTGTGAATTTGCTCCTTTCTAAAGGTACCAAAAAGAACCCAGCCAGGCCTTTAGGGTCACTATTGCATTTGGTTAAAAAAAAAAAAAAAAAGTCTGCAAAAAGAGCATGAAGTGACATCATCTGACCTCCTCTAGCTTCACGAGAGGGAGAGAGAATCACCATCAGCAACCCAAGGCTTATTCCTATGAGGCCAGACATGCCACCACCCTCCAAACTTTTCACTAATTCTGACACCCCTCTGCCATACAATGCACTCTATTTCTTTACTAGGTTTGATAATTTGTTGCAATGGCCACACAGAACTCACAGGCAGTACTCACGATTATGGGGTTTATTAAGGAAGTAACAGGTTCTAATTCATGTTCAGGAATGCTCAGGATACAATTTTTCAATCAGGACAACTCCCTCTCAGCCATGCCCATAGGCCTACCTCTCCTTGGCCCATGACCTCCCTGTTTGGCCTCTGCCCTGCTTGGGCAAGTGTTACAAAGTTCTTTTAGCTCTGCCCGTAGGTGTGTGCCCCATTTCACTAGCAAGCCTCCTGCCCACAGGCACTCAGCTTTCTCACTCCATGGGCTGGTAAGCCTGCGGCTCTGTCTCATGCTGGTCTCTCAGTTCTGCTGCCATGCTGTCTTTCTGCCATCTCCCTGCCATCTCTCTTCTATCTTTCTGCTGTCTCAATGCAGGGATCTTGGGTCCAAGAACATGCTCCACTTCTAGCTCTTCTCTATCTTGATGGCAGTGAGATTCTCCCCAACCCCCCACCCCCAGGCTCATTTTAAGCCTAGCGACTGGCAAAACTGATCAATGCCCACATTACGATTCCATGCACCTTATTTCCATGGTCCCAACTCCTCGTAATTCCACCCAGTCATATAGTAGGAGTCAAAAGGCCATGGCTAGAAAAACCATGCCAAGTAATTCACTATACCGCACATTTATTAACCATTAATTGTATGCTAGGCATTGGCCCAAATACCATGAATACAAAGAAAAATAGAATACTTCCCATATCTAGGATAATTTTCATTCCAGTGAGTAAAACAATAGTTTCAGAACAATAGTAGATAACATTTATAAACCAATTATAGCAACATTTTAACAAACATTTTATCAATATTTTTTCAGTCAATTCTATGTGGTGTAGGTACTGTAACTGTCCCTGTTTAAGGTACTTTCTGGTGCTGTGAGAAGATAGAAGAGGGGTATTTTTTCCTTCTCCCCTCTTCTTAATGATCTCTCCAAATATATATTTTAAAGTATGCCTTTATATATTGATGTAATATATCACATATTCTCTCCCTCATATACCCACTGTTACATAAATCCATTTTTAAATATGCTTAGTTTTCTCATCTAAATAAAAGTTCATGTAAGTTAAAGGTTGGCAAAGTATTAAGTCAAAAGTATTTTATTTTCTCATTGAAAATTCACCATAGAACATGCTCTATACAAATGAGTAGAAGTTATATTTATATAGTGCTTTTTTTTAGGTGCCCATGTAGACATAAAGGATAATCTTGGACGTAATTTTTTGCATTTGACTGTACAACAACGTAATGGATTAAAGAATTTGCAACCTGAGTTTATGCAGGTAATTTGTATGTGTCTGTGGATTTATCGAGGAGCTCTGGTGGCATAGGGCCTGTGGTAGTTAAGTTTGTGTGTCAACTTGGCTGGGTCTGGTTGAGTGGCTGGGCAGCTGGATGTGGTATTCCCCATGATGAGACTGGTAATCAACTCCATAGTGGAATCTACTGTGAGCAGCTGAGCCTTAGGGACGTGGTCTGTGTTCTATGTTTAAGAAGAAGCCTTGGGAAATGGTCTCCAGCTTATAGCACGCTTGAACCCTGCATGTAGCATTTTGTTGCTCAGCAGCCTGCCTATGCTCTGCCAACCTTGGGACTTTCAATGGACTTGAATCAATGGCCAGCCATGTGGTTTGGTAACATTGGGACTGTGCCTTTTTAGTTGTCAATCTTGGGCTTGTCAGCCTCAGCAGGCAGTAGCTGTCTCAGTGAAGAAAAGCCTCTTGCTTCATTGGGCCAGGAGCAGGAGGCAGAGCTGAAGCCCAAGGCTGAGGGGCTTTGACCCAGGCCCTAGACCCTGGCACTTTGAACTCGGACTTAAAACCTCCAAACTATAGGAGGTAAACTCCTGTTTGTTCAATCATCCCATTTGTGGTATATTCCTTTCAGAGTGGCAGTAGGTAACCAAAATAGTGACTAAAGCATTTGACTGCTAACCAGAAGGCTGGTGGTTCAAACCCACCCGCCACTCCTCAGAAGGAAGGTTGGGTAATCTGCTTCTGTAGAGATACCACCTCAAAAACCCACGGAGGGATCGCTATTAGTTGGAAACAACTCAATGGCAGTGAGTTTGGGTTTTATTGGGGGATGGATTTATTGTTAACTGAACTAGGTTCAAAAGAGTAAACTGATTGTGTGTATTATGATTTTTATTACTATAAGGCTGACTTTGGAATTTGAAACAATGTTTTAAAATTAAGATACCTTATTTAAATATTTAGGGAACTCTGGTGGCATAGTGCCTAAGGCACTTGACTGCTAACCAGCTACTCCTCAGAAGGAAGATTGGGCAGTCTCCTTGTATAGTGATACTGCCTTGGAAACCCAGGAGGGGTTGCTATGAGTCGGATGTGACTCGATGGCAGTGAGTTTTGTTTTGGTTTGGTTTATTTGAATGTTTATTTATAATATGATGCCACTAATAAGAGTGATAATTAGTTAATTAGATAGGGTTTGAGTTTTCTAAGTTATGCAAAGTTTTACATATCTGCATCTATAAAAATACATTAATACTGATTAAATGTATAAGAATACATACTTAATCAGTTTTATTTCATTGTTTAACCATTATAAATTGCATGTCAATGAAAAAGAGTTAATTATGTACCTGAGTAAATTACTAATACTTCATCATTGATTAAGAAAAAACAATAAATGTTTATTTATTGATTGGATTAAGCTACTCATTTATTCATTCATTTTTTATTTAATATACATTTAAAAGATAAAGGTAATTTTAATATCCTGTGGGGCACAGTTCACTCTGACACACATGGAATTGCTGTGAGTGGGATTCAACTGGTAATTTTAGGATCCCATCTCCTGCCTCTTACAGAACACATAAGTGTTAACTGATAAGTGTTATTTGGGAGAAAAGGAGGAGGGGATAAGCATGGGGTCTATGGTCAAATATGTTATGAAAATGCTTATGTAAGGATCTACAGCTGGGTTAAAACATTAAGGTTTATTTCAACTTGCAGGACTTTTTCAGAGCCTTTAATATAATAATGTACCATAGGGAGACAGTCTGCAACATTATCCATACTTATTTTACTTTAGTTTCCTTCAGGCTATTTACATTTTCCCCTGAAGAAATACCTATTGACTTTTGTTGGACAATTCTATACTATCCTTTAGTAAAGTTTGAAAAATACTTCATTAGTATAGCAATATATAGAATATTAACTTTTCCCACAGATGCAACATATTAAAGAGCTGGTCATGGATGAAGACAACAATGGTTGTACTCCTCTACATTATGCATGTAGACAGGGAGTTCCTGGCTCTGTAAATAATCTTCTTCACTTTAATGTGTCCCTTCATTCCAAAAGCAAAGATAAGAAATCACCTCTACATTTTGCAGCCAGGTAAGGGTTATTCAGTACAATATAAAAGCATGCTTTCTTTATATTTAATATTTTCTTTGTAAAGATGAAACTTATTCTTTTCTCAAGTTATGGACGTATCAATACTTGCCAGAGGCTCCTACAAGACATAACCGATATGAGGCTTTTGAATGAAGGTGATCTTCATGGAATGACTCCTCTCCATTTGGCAGCAAAAAATGGACATGATAAAGTTGTTCATCTTCTCCTGAAAAAGGGTGCATTATTTCTCAGGTGAGAATATATAATTGAAATATTTAAATATGTTCTTTTTTATTAATTAGCTATTTTCAGGATGTTTTTCCATTTTATTTTAAATTTGGTATCTAACTTTATAGTTCATTAAGCACTTTTACTTATTTAATTCTCAAAACTTACTAAAAAAACAAAAAACAAACTCACTGCCATTGAGTCAGTTGCAGCTCATAGCAACCCCTCCTTGATTTCCAAGGTGGTATCTGGTGGCGTAGTACTTAAGGCATTTGACTGGTAACCATAAGGCTGATGGTTCAAACCCACCAGACACTCCTTGGAAGCAAGATTGGGCAGTCTACTTCCCTAGAGATCCAAACCAAACCAAACTCGCTGCCGTCGGGTCAGATCTGCCTCATAGCGACCCCTCTTTGGGTTTCCGAGGCGGTATCACTACAGAAGTAGATTGCCCAATCTTCCTTCTGAGGAATGGCTGGTGGGTTTGAACCACCAGCCTTCTTGTTAGCAGTCAAATGCCTTAGGCACTACATTACCAGAGCTCCCTCAAAACTTATAGTAACTCAAATATATTGAAAAAGATGTTAGTAGCATTTGCAGCTGACAAAGACAGCAGGTTTGGAGACTTGAAGACCTTTTTCAAGTCACAGAATAAGTGGTTTCAGCATAGTAGTTCTCAAAACTTTTGATACAATTCCTGATATAGCACTTCCCACTGCCCTGTTTTTTATGCAGATACAAAACCGTTTGCATATGTGTATGTGCATACGTGTGTGGGTATACGCAAAAACAAACATCCAAGTTCAAAGCCTCTCTTTTCATTCAATCTGGTAAAAAATTACATTAAAAAGCTCCCTTTTAGCCACAATAGCAGACAAGTTAAAGTTCATTGAACTTTTTTATACTTAAAGGAATTCTAACAGAAGAAACAAAACCAAGTTAAAAATATGTAAGCACAATAAAAAAGTGACATTACTCTTTTGTAAAGAAAAAAAAAATTTATAAAGATGGATTATATTCTCAATTCAGCTAGGTTGTAGCAAAAGACTTGATAGGCTAATGTCTAAAACCCTAATTTTTTATCAGCATACCAATGCCAACAAAGTAATGATGCAACTGAGGAATGCATGCTTTACCCAGTTCCTTTCTGCTTACAAGGGAACACCAAACAGCAAGGCTACAAGGTAGACCCAAAGTGTTGCTGCTTGATTACATCATAATTGAAATAGCAAAAAGCTCTGGTAGCATAGTGGTTAAAGCATTCAGCTGCTAAACAAAAGGTCGATGATTCAAACCCACCAAAAGCTCAGCAGGAGAAAGATGATGCAGTCTGCTTCCATAAAGATACACAGCCTTGAAACCCCTATGGGGCTGTTCTGTGCTGTCCTATAGGGTCCTTATGAGTCAGAATCTACTCAAGGCAGTGGGTTTGGTTTTGAGTTTTGAACTAGCAAGGTATCTTTTGTACCCTAAAATAGCTGCTCACTAGTATGGATATTAAATAGTGTCAGGACTGCACACATTGCTTCTATGTCTAATTTCAAAAAGTATCAGTAATGTGGCTAGCCTTTGTTGTATTACATCTTGAAATTTTGTGAGAAAGGACATTTTCCAAGGGGATTGAGTAGGCATATTCAAAAGCACAAGAGGAAAAATCTCTTGAGACCTAAACTCTTAGAAGAGTATGTGACACTAAGGTAAGTATACAATCTAAGTTATGTTTATTATTGGGATTATTATTAGTAGTAACTATTGTCCCTGAAGAGTAATATCATGGAAATAGTTTTGATACAATGCTTAATGAAAGAATAAATGAAGATTTAAAATACCATGTATAAGTACACCATAGCTTTTATTGGGGGGAATATATACGTATCTTTACATATCTATAGATATAGATATATCTATATCTATAGATATATATAGATATATAGATAGATAGATAGATATAAAGATATATATATGTAACATAGAAATGCTAACTCTAGTTTCCCCTACTCCCCAGTTTTTGGTAATGTGTTGATTGATATACTTTTACACTTTAATCTACTAGATAAAAAAATACATGTGGATCACATCTTAGGTAGTTCATTTAAGACAAATGGCCTTGAAATTAGCTCATTTATTATAAATGGGTACTAAATATTTACTTGCTAGATCTCAGTTACGCATTTTTTTTTGGTCAGCACTTCCACCTCTCAGATTAATGAGCCAGGTGGCATCACTTCTCACCTTTCGTCTGTAAACTGCATGCACATAGTCACACATCTTTTCTTAACTCTTTCACAGTGACCACTATGGCTGGACTGCTTTGCATCATGCTTCTATGGGCGGGTACACTCAAACCATGAAGGTCATTCTTGATACCAATTTGAAATGCACAGATCAGCTAGACGAAGACGGGGTATGTACAATGTTATTTCTCTGGACCAAAATTTCAGTGTACAACAAACTTCCAAAATTTTAAAAAAGTCTTCTTCTTAGACACCTCTTCCCTTCCCTGCCTCATTGCCAGCAATTTGTTGGGTTCTTAACACCCTAAATCTTATAGTGGGGGAGGAGTAGAAGGGAACAGAATAAGGAGAATGCCAAGGGGTGGGCCTACACTGAGGACCCTGTCCAGCCTCGCAGAAGCCCATCCACTGTCCTGTGCAGAGTGATGAGAAAACTCCCAGCAATCCCTGAACTGAAAATAATAAAGAGGTCAGAGTGAGTTTTCCATAAAACTTAATGTGTTTGATTTGAGAAACTGCCCCTCATTCTGCTATTATGTCCTTTTTTTAGGAGAGTGAGAATATTAAAATGTATATTCTCTCATGAAATGAGGGAGTTAGAAGAGTGTAGTTGTTTTAATGTTCTTATGTGCTAAAAGTGAAAATTGTTAACTTAATATCTCTGATTTTTTTTTTTTTTAATGTACTAGACTGTGAAATTATCTGTGAAAAATCTAGAAACCACTTCTCTACTAGATGATAAATCTCCCAGGAGTCTTCTCTTTGTGTTCACTCTAGCATTTCTCCCACGAACATGTGTGCTTTTTCCTTGTACAATCACCCTCCTGGAAAAACCCAACATTGAAATTCATACATACACATACAGGTTCCTCCCTGCTCCTTGCAGTACCATATTTGAGCTATATGTAGGCTTCTTATTTTGAATCATGATTCTCATTTTGTCTTTGTTGGTATTAAATAGTTAGTTTTGCTAATACTTTCTTTTAAGCAACTCAACAATGAAACAGGGCAGTAAAGTAACCAAGTGATGATCAACCATCTTCACTGTGTTTTCTGTTTTCTATTTTCTCTAAAAGAACACTGCACTTCACTTTGCTGCAAGGGAAGGCCATGCCAAAGCCGTTGCAGTTCTTCTGAGCTATGATGCTGGAATTGTCCTGAACAAGCAGGATGCCTCCTTTTTGCATGTTGCAATTCACAATAAAAGAAAGGATGTGGTTCTTACCACCATCAGGAACAAAAGGTACACTGCTTCACTGTCCATTATCATTAATATTCGCTAGCATGAGAATATTAGACCTCAGAGAAAACAAAAAAGAGAAAAGTAATGTAATTTTCAGCTGTTTATCATAAATTTAAAAATGCTCTTTGCTGACATAAATCTTTTAGTTTTTTAGTTAACTTTTTGAATGATAATAGACAAGTTGCTTAACCTTTCTAATCTTTAGTTTTCATTTCTAATACATGCATGGGATGAAAATATTACCTTGGTAGCACTTTTGTGAGATTTGGGAGTTCATGCCTGACACCTTGATCATTAAGTTAACCCTGCACGGCCCTTCCTGAAATTGCCTCATCCTCTTATGCCAACAGAAAACCCCAAACTGGATGTTGCTTCTATCTAATGAAATTTCCCTTAACACATGATCTGTTGTGGTGGCTGTTTTTAAATCATATTCTAAGGAGTTTTAATGATGGGGCTGGAGGGTAATTTTTCCCACTTCTCATACCCATGCTTTTCTATATAATAATAGACAGATATGTTCAAGGGCCCAGTGTCACCCAAATAGTAGACAGAGATGAACACCCTCACATTCAAGGTGAAATGAGCCTATTTTTTTGAGCATGAACAGTCTCAAGAAACCCCTGGTAATCATTATTTTGAAACACCAATTTTGCAGGTATGCAATCAGAGGTTTTCTGGTGATAATGCAGATACTCTAGATGGATTTTACTGAGAGGATTAATGGAAAATTTATCTGACTGTTTTTAGAACTAGTCTTCTGTCACATAGACAGAATCTTGGACATAAATAGGCTTGTCTTTGTTTCCTGTTGCAGTTTTATACCCTCCTTAATATTGTAGGCAAGGAGCTCTGGTGGCACAGTGCCTAAGGCATTTGACTGCTAGCTAGAAGGTTGGCAGCAGTTCAGAACCACCAGCCACTCTGTGGAAGGAAGATGGAGCAAGCTACTTCCATAAAGATTGGCTGCCTCGGAAATACAACGGGGGTTGTGATGAGTTGGAATTGACTCAATGTCAGTGTTTTGTTGTTGCTTTTTAATATTGTGAGTTACATTCTCATTTTGTCTAATTAGATAGGGATTACAAGAAGGGGAAAACTCTTCAGTGTTCTAGCAGACTTCATGCTTATTTAATATACTTTGCACATGTTCTTTTTTCATTTAATTAAATACATGATGCATATATTGATTGCCTATTAAGTATTATGTGCATAGTACAAAGCTGCTGAAATATATATGTGAATGTACATATCCTTACCCAACACAGTCAGCTGTGAAAGTACAGACTATTTCTTGACTTCAGGAGGAAAAGAAGATGAAAGGCTGCCTTCTTTTGAAGGCATTTAGGGAAAGAGACCTCTGGTAGTGCAGTGCCTAAGGCACATGACTGCTAACCAGAAGGCTGGCGGTTCAAACCCACCAGGCACTCCTCGGAAGGAAGATGGGGCAATCTATTTCCGTAGTGATACTGCCTCAGAAACCCAAGGTGGGGTCGCTATAAGTTGGGTCCAACTCGATGGCACATAACAACAACAACAACAGGAAAAGAGACAGAAAAGTGATTATAACAGCCATCCTGATACTGGCCTGTATTCCTAATGTCCACTGATGGACAAGGATCTCATTCATGGATTGACCTTTGTTGGAACCAGTGGGTGAGCTTTATGTTATGAATGAACTAAAATTCAGGTTTTTCCTAAAAAACACAATCTTGAGGTTTATGTGGTAGCTTTGTTATGTGCAGAACAGATTAACACTTGCTTTTGTCTGGTTTAAACAGATGGGAAGAATGTCTTAAGGCATTTAGTCATTATTCTCAAAGTAATAAATGTCCAATCATGGAAATGGTGGAGTATCTTCCTGAATGCATGAAAGTAAGTTCTCAAACAACACTCCTTCTGGGTATATGCCTGGCATATAATATACTGTAAAGGTTTATTGTAATCACAAACTAAATCTTCACCTTTAAATAATGTTTCTAGTTTCCCATAGACTTTACAGGATGTTAGTCAATAAGTATTTATTGAGGGTTATTAATGGTTATGTGGACTATACGGAAATATGGGAAACAGATTTTCTATTCAGACTTTCTAAGACTAGAGCAGAGAACACAAACTGGTGGTTGCTGGCTGAATAAAGCTTCTGGGTATGTTTTGTTCAATATGCCTGTTATTGTTTCAAATTGGCATTAGTTGCTAACACTTCAAACAAGGGCATTTATCTTAGGATCCAGGTACCTGGTTAACCAGACAAAATCATAAAGTCCCGCAACTGGGTCTATCTTCTCACAAGACAGGGATCTGAGAAGCAGCCACTTCCTTAAGATGAACACGCTTCCATGGCCCCACCCCACCTCTGTCTTTTGTATTCCCAGCTTTAAGGCCTTGTGTTGGTTGCCATATATTATCCTGGTGCAATCCCTTGGGTTATGGTAGAAATATATTTTTGTACAGTTTCCTCTGTCAAAGCAGTGAAGATAAAAGCCAGCCCAAAGATGGTCAACATTTTCTTCATCCCTAAAGCAGTAATGCTGATACAATCTTGCAAAGTGATTCTAAAAATTAGAGGTAAAATATATACAGTGTTCAGGATAGTAGTTGACACATAACATTTTTTCACTCTTTTGATCTGCTTCTATGATTACTACCACTACTACTACTCCTAAGAATACTAGTACTAGCACCTATTGTTTGTATGTATTAATATTTATGCTAATATTTTATGTGCACTTTTTTCTTTATGATATCTAGTGGAAATTGGGCCCAGTGCAGTACAGAGATAGCCTTTTAGGTACATAAATCTTATGAAAGAATGCATGAATGTTCATTCAGGGTTGAAAATGCACTCAGACTCTCTTACTCAGGAATTTCAGTTGTAGGAAACTATCCCACTGAATAATCCCACATACGGGCAGGAGTATATGCAGTAGTGTTCCCTGCAGCATTATTCATAATAGAAAAAGAAATGGTAAAATTATTAACATATCAAAACAAAAAAGATCTGAAGAAATTATACCAAGACATTAAGAGTTACTTCATTTTGGGATTACAATTGATTTTCTTTTTTTCTTTATACTACTATATATTTTCTCACTACCATTGAGTCAGTCCCGACTCAGTGGCCCCTCCTTGGGTTTCCGAGGCAGTATCACTGTGGAAATAGATTGCTCAACCTTCCTTCCAAGGAGTGGCTGGTGAGTTTGAACCGCCAGCCATCTGGTTAGCAGTCAGATGTCTTAGGCCTTTATAGTGACTAGTATTTAATGTGACTTTTTTTCCCAGTAAAATAAGAGAATTTAAGCCCTTTTAGTTTAAGCTCACATGACATATTTGAATTATTTATACGACATTTCTGACAATAAGTCATTCAGTTGCTTTTGTAAAACACTCTGAGGCAACCCATCCTTTATTTTACCTGTGCTGATTGTAACCAAGTTCCCACATTGTAAAATTATACCTGCCTTGTTGGTTCTGCCTTGCAAAGCACTACAGACTAGATTAGTCTTTATTTTCCATAACAGTCTTCACATATTTGATGATACCTATTCATCCCATCAATACTGCTGGCCTCATTGCCAGAAGAACCATCCTTAAAGTTTTCTAAGTCCTTATCAGGGTGCCTGTAACTGGCCAAAGCCGCTATGCCCACAAGATGGGGCTAGCCCACATTTTTACCCTTCAGGGCACTATCTAACCCTCTATCTACCCCCATGTTCTGCAAATGAGGTTTCCTAATGCTTAAGGAGGTCCAAGAAGCATTGATGTGGTTTTTTGTGCCCTTGTGTCCAATCTCAGTTTGAGAGGACCATATGACTATTGGGGTCTTTGTTTCTTAGGACTGTGAGTTTGGGCCACTAGAATGATGGTATCACATTCACTTTGGGGTGACTCAAATTGTTTATGTAGACAGAGTCTCCATTAAATATTTGCCCAAGACCTCAGATACCTTATGGTCCCATAGTGTTCTCTTCCTGAATTATGCATCTAGAAGGCCTTCAAATATTTCTCATTACAACATCTCTACCCATCACCCTGCCTACCCCCTCTTACGTACTTTGTCACTGTTGGTTTGCAGGTGTTAACCAGAAGAATGCAGTCATCCATATCCAAGCAGTTGAGAAGATGGAACTTAGCCCATAGAAAGAATCCAGTGTTGGACTCAAAGTTCTTGATTAGGGGCAATAAATTGTTACTATAAGATGGGGAGAAAAGGAATTCTTAATAAACTATTTGTTGCCTAGAAGCCCAGAAAGACATCAAATCTGAGGCAAAAATAACTTACTACTCAAATTTAATAAATACAGATTTTATTTTCAAGCTTATGGTGTTTTACTCAATCACTTGGCATTTCTGTGCCATGCAGTGATTGTTGTAGCACGTTGTATTTTAAACCTCGTTTCCTACATTACATGAATTATCATTTGTCCTTGCAGTCAAAGAAGCAAAGGAAGAGGATATCTTTATATGCTATTTTAGAAAGAGGATAAAGTTTTGTGTCATGTTTAGTCTCCTTCCAGAGTATTTTAACTGATTTTTTTCTTTCTCAAAGGAACTTCTAGACCTATGCATGCTGCACTCTACAGAGGACAAGTCGTGCATAGACTACCATGTAAGTGTATTTTATCATAATAGTTTGATGTTAATTTTATCATAGCTCTTTGAAAAATTTAAAAAATGATATTGCTAGAGTTTCCCAGTTTCAAAACATGGTAATTACTAGTTTCATTTGTCTTAATGTTATATTACTTACTTATGAGGGAATTTTTCCTTTTGATCTTTAGTTTTCCCTCAGTATTTTAATTGTTCATAATAGTATTATTCAGAGTTACTTTTAATATTTCTATTTTCTTAGGTAGCTTCATCTGCACAATGAAATTCTAAAAGATCTAAATGATCTTTTGAGAATTCATCTTTTACGATGGCTGTGAGTTGTAAAGCAATGAAATAACAGCCTTTCTGGATTTTTTTTTTAAAAAAATAAAATATACAATAGTTTAATTAACTTTTCTCCAGATAAAATGACTCAACCTTGTTTGAATCACTTAATTTTCAGCAGCTTGTGTATATGATATTTTTCAAGAGCAACTTTTGGTGTCTATATTAGACTAAATGTAATTTTAAAAACATTTATGTCTTCCACAGATCGAGTATAATTTCAGGTATCTTCAATGTCCACTAGAATTAACCAAAAAAACATCTCCTGTACAGGATGTTACATATGAGCCTCTTACAACACTCAATGTAAGTCCAGTGTTTTCATTATGTAATTTCTACATGGCAGTGTTTTGGTACCATAGTCCTACAATTGATAGAAATGGAAGGGGCCTAGAGAAAATTCCAGTTTTATAGTACTATGTATATTATGTCATGTGGCCCAACCCTTCATTCTTTAATAAAGAAAGGAATCATTCTCTAGAGCTACTGTATGTGATAACCCTAAAGTCCATGTTCATTGTCATATCAGTCCCAATGGTCACATCAGATCTTCCTCAACTCAGAATCCACATAAAACTAACACAATACAGGGCTGACAGTCTATAGTTTACAACTTGTACCTCAACTCCATTCCCCTTAAATGTAGTGTTACAGATTGAAATGTTGTTGTTGTTGTTATCGTTTGCCATTGAGTCAGACCTGACTCATAGCGACCCCTCCTTGGGTTTCTGAGGTGGTATCACTACGGAAGTAGATTGCCCAACCTTCCTTCCGAGGAGTGGCTGGTGGGTTTCAACCACCAGCCTTCTGTTAGCAGTCAAGTGCCTTAGCCACTATGCTACCAGAGCTCCCATGGATTGAAATATGTCCCCCGAAATGTATTGTAAATCCTAACCTTTATGCTTGTGGTTATAATCCCATTTGGGAATGAGGTATCTTTGTATGCTAATGAGGTAGAATTAGTGTAAGATGTATCTAGTCAATCTCTTTTTGAGATGTGAAAGAAATTAAAGGAGCAAACTATGGAGCACAGGTAGGGGAAGGGAGATGCCATGCCACATGGAGATCTCCATGGGACCAGGAAGCAGAATCAGAAGAAATAAGGACCTTCCTCCAGAGCCGACAGAGAGAAAAAGCCTTTCCCGAGGGCCAGCACCCTGAATTTAGGCTTCTAGCCTCCTAAACTGTGAAAAAATACATTTATTTTTGTTAAAGCAACTCATGTGTGGTACTTTTGTTCTAGCAGTACTAGACAACTAAGATGTATAGACATACTTACTCAAAGGATTCTTCAGGGTAAGCCACAGGGAAATGTGAAGGGTAGTGGTGACATTTTACAGCCATAACTTCAAATTCAACCAGCCAGTGGGTTCCAAGGAAAACTCTGACCTTTCAGAGGCTCTTTCTTAGATCCTTCCAGAGGAATGAACCTAATCTGAAGTAGGCCCATAACATACAGTATAGACCACAAGTTTCCAAGAGAGTTGCTCCAAACCACCTTTTAGATTCCAAAGCATGCTTTTAGATTTCTAGCCAAGAGACAATGAAAGCCATCAGATGATTCAGTTCAGTCTAAATAAGCTATTGTAAATGCAAATAACTACAGAAGAAAGACATAACAGATGAGTAGTGTGGGCCCCCGGTCTAGAAGTCTCAACGAATTGCTGTCATGAAGGAATGGCAACCAAGGTTTGTATAAATATTGACAAAAAATTAAAATTTTGTACACTCACAACAAAACATACTTGAGTATTGGATTTGCATGTTTTAGTCTAGATTTGTGCCATCTACATGGTAGCCACATATGACTACTTAAAGTTGAATAAAGTCAAAATTTTAGTTCCTCAGTCTCACTAGCCATATTTCAAGTGTTCAATAGCCCATGGGTCCAGTTGTTCTCAGAAAAAAAAAACGTAAGATATATCCATCATTGCAAAAAGTTCTATTGAAAAGCACTAGTCTACACCACTCAAAAGGAAGGTTGGGCAATCTACTTCTGTAATGATACTGCCTTGGAAACCCAAGGAGGGGCCACTATGAGTCGGGTCCAACTCAACGGCACATAACAACAACAACAACAAGTCTAGACCAATGAGAAATTTCAATTCACTTTCAGTGAATTCATTTCCCTACATGGACTCTTTTGGCAGAGATTATGGTGTCAACGGTCACCTAAAGTGAATTACAGAAGGATTAGTGAGTAGTCAGAGTTAAAGGATACAGACCTCATGAATTTTACAAAGCAGGCAATTGGCAAGGGAGTCTCACATTTTCTTTATGCCAAGCATTTAGTGCTGCTGGAGTGTTGCACTAAATAGCCTCTCACTAGCTCCAGTCTGTCTTTTTCTCAGTATCCAATTTCTTACGGTCCCCTGTTTGCTCTATCCAGACTTTTAAACTTCTGTGGACAATAATCCTATATACCAGTTGTTATTATTGTTGAGAGTCATAGCCAAGTGGTCTAGAAGTAACCACACCACAGTTTTACTGAGGACAATATTTGTGTATGTTTTTTAAAGGTATAATTTAAAGAACTGGCAAGACTACCAAAAAGAAACAGCTTATTTATTGTTTCCACCACCAGGATGAGAATAGGAGGAAATAAAGCTTTGTCATTTCTAAAAGGAGCCCTGGGTAGAGCAAATGACTGATATGTTTGGCTGATAACCAAAAGGTTGGAGGTACAAGTCTACCCAGAGACACTTTGGAAGAAAGGCCTTTCAAAAAATAAGCCATTGAAAACTCTGTGGAGCACTACTTGGACACACATTGTGTCACTGTGAATTGGAATCAACTTGACAGCCACTGAAAAGAGAGATTCTATATAGAAGTAGAGTCTCTATAATAATAGATTCAAAATAATTTATATGAAACAGAGTCTGTGGTGAAATGGGTTAATTTATATGGCCTGTTGCCTTGATTCTTTGGAAAAACAGTTTAGGAGATTGTTCCCCCTAAACCCTAAGAGTTGTTATCTTTTCCCTAGTTCTTTGGATAAACTAATTGGGGCACCTCCCAAGTTACTCTCTACCCAGAGGGTCATTGTTTTTGCCCAGGGAAAAGCCAGTAGCATAGTGGCTAAGACACTTGCCTGCTAACCAGACGGCTGGCGGTTCAAATCCACCAGCCACTCCTCGGAAGGAAGGTTGGGCAATCCTACTTCCGTAGTGATACTGCCTCGGAAACCCAAGGAGGGGTCGCTATGAGTCGGGGCCGACTCCACGGCACATAACAACAACAACAACAACATAGGCAGATAATGTTAATTTTGCACAAGCCTTATGTGGATTGATGGACTGGGCCTCAATCTTGCAAGGGAATGGTCAATATGCTATTCAAATAGCGGCTTGAAAATCCACCCATTAGGATTAAATGACTTGTGGTTCACCAAGGGGATTGTTTGGTGGTCCTGCTGGGAGGTCTGTGCTTGAAGTTGACAAGGAGTTTTCTTATATAAACAACCAACTCCACAGAGGTTTTCAAGGCAAAGAGGGAATTTTCAGACCAAGAAGAGCCTGTAGCAGAGAACTCTGGACTCAAGATTCCTATGAAGATACCTTCTAAAAGAGTTGTAATATACAAGTCAAGGGTTGTAGCACTAAAGATGGCTAGGAACCCAGCAGCAGAGTGACCCATGAAGGGGCCTGGAGACAGAGAACCTGTGGCAGAGCCGATAGCAATGACAGAAAGTTGCTGCTAAAAAGCCAGTTAAGAGAGCAGAGCAGACTACTACACTTGGCATAACTTGAACCAGTTAGGAGCAGAGAGACCACTGGCAGCAAAGTCAAAGGCAGAGAGGTTTGCACAGCTGTGAGGGGACATGAATGGCTGAGAGGGCCGTGCATGACTGAGAGGGGGCGTAAAAGGCTACGAGAAGGGTCTCCTTGCTTCTGTGTCTAAGAGAAGGGTCTGGTTGCATGGCCAAGAGGGGCCAGCTAGCATGACTGTGATTGAGAAGAACCTGCTAGCCAAGAGTAGCTGAGATAGCTGTCCTGATTGGAAACTCTGTGCTGAAGAAGGAAGAGATGTGCTTTCAACTTTTGGGGAACCTTCCAGACCTTGCCTGTGCTTCCTGATTCTGATCCTGAGTTGTTCCTATCACTTCAAGTTGATCCTGATCTCAAGTTGTACCCTGTTACTTCCTATTAAGCCACATAACTGTGAGTATGGTCTGTGAGTTCTGAGTGGCCATTGCTACAAATATTGAATCCACTAGAGAAGTTGTGTGTCACGGTAATGGCTGGTTTCAGAAATAGTGAAAAATTTGGAGAGTGACGAGGTTCTAAACTATACCTCATAGGAACCAGCTTTGTGCTGATCTCGATGCTTAGTCCTTGTAGATTTAGATGGGCCATCAAGGAACACTACAGGATCACTTGAATAAATAAATACATACGGCTCAGTGGGCAGAGCCAATAGCAGTCACCACTATACAATCAGCACATGATTGTATAGTGTCAGTAACAGTGTAATCATTACCTGAGTTATAAATGAGCTAAGCAGAGTATTCAGGAGGGCCAGCCAGTCTGGTGTATGGGATTTTTGTGCACAGAAGTTTAAAAAGTCTGGATAGACCAATTTATAGCAATAAGTGCACACATCAAAAGAGAAGAAAGAGCCAAAATCAACACTTTAAATGAACATCTCCAACAATTAGAGAAAGAACAGC